GCGGCCGGCGGCCCAGACTGCGGAGATGGAGATCGGCGGCGGAGGGGGAGGGGAGCGAGGAGGCGCGGAGGAGGGGAGGAGCTGGCGCGAGAAAGCGGGGAGAGGGGCGGTCGGGGAGGAGCTGATGCGGTGGGGAGCGGTCGGGGAGGAGCTGCAGGGGAGGTAGGCGGGAGCGGCGGGCGGCGGGAGCCGGGAGCGCCGGCGGGGGTCGTGGGGGCGGCTGCCCAGCGTCGGGGCGAGTTTCCGGAGGCTCCGTGACAGGTGCCGTGAGGCACGGTGGGGGTCCACCTCTCCTTGTCCTCTGCCAGCTCCCCCCATCTCCAGATGTCTTTGCCCAGGCCTGGCCGCCTCCCCCCAACCCCCCAGGAAGCTCAAGGGGCACAGTGGGAAACGTAGCCCTGCTCAGTAGAGCAAAGCGATAGGCTTCTCTTATTTTTCTTTGGATAAAAGATCCGCTGAGCTTAGGAAACGTGGATTCCAGAGAGGGTGGTCTGCTCTCAGAGGTCTGAGGGCCAGGAGGGAAGGAGGAACCGAGAACATCCACTCCCCACCAGCACAGACACCCCCAAATACTCCCAAGTTTTGTCCCGTCCTTCTCACTCCCATTTCCACCCTCCCCCCACCTCTCTCCACAAAAGAAGTTTCTCAGGGTGGGCGGCTGCAAGGTAGAATTTCCAAGGAAGTCATTTCAGGACTCTTCTCCGCGGAACACTAAGCCCCTTTGCTCCCCGCCCCTGCTCCCCCGGAATAATAGCTGAATGCAAGCTGCTCCGCTGATCACCCGACCAACACCTAATTTATGGAGTCCATGCTTATTTAGGAAGCCAGCTCCTATTTACCACTCCTTTCTGTACCCTCTTCCTCCCGTATTCTCTTGCAGCCCTCGCACACGGTCACTACGAAGGGCAGCGGGTCAGGGAGGTGGCCTGCCGGAGACTAGGAGGCCCACCCGGCTCTCACCTAGGGGGAGGGGAGCCCTCCTGAAACAATGGGGAAAATGCCGTAGGAGCTACCAGGCAGCCTCTGGCGTCTAAATCCCCTTTCAGCCCCAGCCTGGTTTGGATCCCTGGCAATGGTTAACACCCTCTCGCCGCCAGAGGCAGCCAGCCTCCCATTCGGGGAAGAGAGAAGTAGGGATGATATGCCTTCTGGATCACGTACTCTGCATTCCTTGTTTACCTGGAAATGAGTCTTAAAGGTTCCCCACTTCCGAAAATACTTTCTCTTACACGCAGGAAGTGACCACAGTCCCTGGTTATGTGGTGTGCGTGGGCATCCGTAAACCCGCATTGCTCTAATCCCAGGTCTTTTCTTCCCTGGCTGGTAAATTGAGGTGCAGTGGTCAGTCACACCATGCTATGCCACCACTTTCCTCTTCATAAAGGGGTAGTGCTGGGCCGGGCCTGCTGGCTCGGCCTGTAATCCCAGCACTTGGGGAGGCCGAGGCGAGTGGATGGCCGGAGCCCGCGGGTTCGAGACCAGCCCGGGCAACCTGGAGAGACTTCCTCTCTACAATAAATCAAAAATTACCTGAGCCCGAGCGTTCGAGACCCGCCTGGGCAACTGGGCGAGACCTCATCTCTACAATAAATCAAAAAATCAGCCGGGCGTGGTAGCGCGCGCCTGTAATTCCGGCCACTCGGAAGGCTGAGGCGGAAGGATCGCCGGAGCCCGGCAGGTCGAGGCTGCGGTGGCCGGGAGCGGCCGCTGCACTCCAGTCTGGGCGACTGAGTGAGACTCCAACTCAAAAAAAAAAAAAGAAGACGAAAAAGAAGAGATAGTACTGTAGCAGCACTATCTTCTTCAGAAAAATATTGTGGGTACAAAAGTAATGGAAGAACTTTTGACAAATAATATTAATGTGCGAGACGGGAACGGTGTGCATGCCTGTAGTCCCGTTTAGTCCAGAGGCTGAGGCAGGAGAATTGTTTGAGTCCAAGAGTTTGAGGCAGCTGTGCACTATGATTGTGTCTACAAATAGCTACTGCCCTTGAAACTGGGCAAGACCCCATCTCTTAAAAAAAAAAAAAAAAAAAAAGACTAAAAAAATGTGTACATATAGGGCCTTTAAAAGTTTGGGGAAGCCTAGGCATGGTGGCTCATGCCTATAATCACAGCACTTTGGGAGGCTGAGACAGGAGAACTGCTTGAGGCCAGGAGTTGGAGACTACAAAAAATAAAAAAATTGATTGGGCGTGGTGGTATGAGCCTGTAGTCCCAGAAGGCTAAGGTGGTAGAATTGCCTAAACCCAGGAGGTGGAGGCTGAGGTGAACTTTGATTGTGTCACTGCACTCCAGCCTGGAAGACAGAGTGAGACTCCCCACAACTCAAAAAAATCAAAAAATAAGCTGGGCTCGGTGGCTCAGCCTGTAATCCATGCCTTGGGAGGCTGAGTGGGTTGCCTGAGCCCGCGGGTTCAAGACCCTCCTGGGCAACTTGGTGAGACCTCATCTCTACAATAAATCAAAAATCAGCCGGGTGTGGTAGCATGCGCCTGTAGTTTCAGTTACTTGGAAAGCTGAGGCGGAAGGATCACCGGAGCCCAGCAGTCGAGGCTGTGGTGGCTGGGAGCGTGCCACTGCACTCCAGTCTGGGTGACAGAGTGAGACTCCAACTCAATAAATAAATAAATAAATAAAAAAGTTTGGGGAATTCTGAATTTTTTTTTTTCATAATCAATATTTTTTATTATGGTTTTGTGGGGTACAGTTAAGGGTTAGGTATACAATTATGTTTCATTCAGGCACCCTGTTGATAAGAGGTGTTTCCCCGTCCCCAGATATTTGCTACTGTTAATCCCATCTCCCTCCCACCCCATAGTAGAATTCTGAATATTATCAGAGAATTTATATTGTCAGTAGTAAAATAATCCAAGTCACATTAAATATACACATATGATTAGATATGATTTCTATGTAGCTTATTAATTTTATTAATTTCTGAGGTATGATGTTGGCTAATATCATTGGCATATGTCAAGGGTAGGAAGTCTTTTTTTTTTTTTTTGAGTTGGTGTCTCACTCTGTCGCCCAGACTGGAGTGC